TTTGAATCCTGGCTTTGCCACTTCCAGCCTGTTGGACATTGAACAAGGCTCTCCCCCTCTCTGAGTCTTAGTGTCCTCCCTTGAGAAGTGGAGGTGACAACAGTCCCTTCCCTGGAGCCTGACTCAGGGACACAGGCCAGGTGAGGCCTGGCTGAAAACCAAACTCAACATAGTGGAAGTAAGTTAAAGTGGATGCCTTTCCTAACTCAACACTTGCCCAGGGCAGAAGGAACAGGAAAGATGTTACCTGAGTACAGACTTGACCTTGTTCATGAGCATGGGACATGTGGGCCAACTGGAACCCAGGCCAAAACACACAAGGTCTCCTTCATAGCTGATCCTCTATATACCTCTATATACCAGACTGGGGCTGGGGCCAGACCTACCTCTGGACTCGGGGGAAAGAGGGCCAGGTACCCCATCAAGAATTTCCTGTTGTAGAATGGTAAACTGGATTTTACGATGTTTTCCTGGGGACAAATGTCCAGTGTCCCATGATAGGGGGACACAGTGATGGTGGAACCATTGTTCTTGAAGGGTACGTTGTTGCTCAGAGCACCATCAAAGTAGCGCTGCAATGTGAGGAGTAGGCTTAGGTGAGCGATGCTGTCCTCTGGAGCCATCTGCCCTCTCCCAGCACCATCCCAAGGCGCCAGCAAAGAACACTCAGGATGTTGAGTCCCCACAGGAATGAGAAGAGAGTGTGGCACACAGTAGGTGCCCTAAGAGCCCAGGGTATGAGCTCAGTAATTAACCCCGGAAGTGTACTTACCTCCCCTCTGAATTCAGGGGGAATCACCCCACAGTAGACAGGGAAGTACAGTGTACACACCATGGCCTGGGAAGACAAGCAAGGAGAGGAATATAATTGTTCCCACTCCGTTTCACTCAGAAACTACTTGGGACTCTCTGCTCCAATAGAGGCACCAAATTTGGCACTATGCCTCCCATGTAGATAAGCCCCAAGAAGACACAAGGTTTTCAATGTTCTCATGCTACAATGGACATTTAATAAAAGCATGGCCCAGGATGGGCCTCCCACTGCAGCTGCTAACTCTGTACGGGTCCTAACAGAAGCAGCATGTCCACCCCAAAGCAAGCCCGGGTCCTGATATTCACTGACAGACTGCGACAAGTTGCCACCTCTCTCTGTTCCTGGAGGAGAACTGAGGCACCTCAAACTGCCCACCCCCCTCCTGTACCTGTGGTTATCTCTGCCCCTAGAAATCCCCAGCCACAGCACTTGCCCCACCTGGATGAGCTCATCTCGGGTGGCAAAGTTGGTAACTATGACATTCTTGCCATCTGGCCAGTGGGTCAGAGAGATGCCCAGCCGCTTGGAGGCCAGGATGTGCGCATTGTTGGGCAGAGTCTTTTGCAACACTGACTTGATGTGGTCAATGGGAGCAAAGGCTGGATGGAAGATGCCCAGACTCAACCTCTTGATCACCTTGATCATTCCCAGGAGGTTCGAGCAGCAGTAGTCTGTGGGAGGTGCAGGGAACTCCTCAGCCACCCAGGGGGGCTGACTGCACCTCCCTCACAGGTCCACCCTTCCTCCCAGTGCCATGCCACCAAAGTCCCCCTCTACTCTCCAGCTCACAATTTTCATGCCCAGCCCTGGGATCAAATCCTGCACACACCTTTCCCCCCAGGTAATCTAAGGGATGCCCTTTAGTCCAGACCCTGGGGTTCTCAGGATTAATGAGAAGATGTTGAGACAGAAGGTCAGGCGGAACCTCTGAAGCACCTCCCTCTGTCCCCCGCAGCCCTCTTTCATCCTAAACCCCCATATTAGGGTTCAGGAACTGATCCCAGATTCCTCCTGGCCTCCAGCCACAGCTGGACAGACGCACCAACAGACATTCCACAGACAAAGCAGGTCGCATAGAGCGCTCCGGATGAGGAGCCATAGAAGCGGTGGGCGCCCTGGAGGAGGCTGGGGGCATGCTCCTGCAGACAGTGGGTCACGCCCACGTGGTAGAGACCCAGGAAACCTGAGCCAGCAAATGATATGCTCCAGCTGCCTTCCTTCTCCAAGTCCATGGTGGGATGTGGAAAGGGTGTACAGGGGACCTGTAAGTGGGTCTAGAAGGGATCTGTCAGGGATGGAGATGGGATGGGACCAGGCGCCAAACCAAGAAGGGTCAAGCGTGGGGCCGGAATGGGCATCCAGATGGAGATGGGTCCAGGAGAGAGCCAGGGATTGGGAACTGGAGTGACAATCTGAGCCCTTGTGTAGTCTTCTGCCCCGCCCCTGAGCTGCGTCATGCACCTCCCCAGCCAATGAGATCCCTGAGTCGCAGCTTCTGTCCCTCATGGATTGCAGGTGAGCCCTCATCACGCCCTCCTTGTCCTTTCGTGATCTAGCTTAGTTCGGTCTCAGGTGCTGTTGACAGAAACCTTATCCCAGCCCCCGCGGTACAGGTGGGGAAACAGGAGTGACCAGGAAGCGCAACGCCTCTCCTTGGGGTCACCCCAGGCTTTTTCTGCAGCTGTGCTGGGCAAGACCTAGAGAGGAAAAGGAGACAGGCACCGCATTTCACACTCAGCCCCCACCACCTGTCTGATGTTCCCAAACTTCTCATCCTCGCTGGTCTCTAGGATTTCAGCATCATGTAGGAGGCTGATGTGAGGGCCTTCAGAGCCCCTCCCCCACACCAAGGCCGGATCACCAGCCAAGCCTAGTCAAGGGTGACCGCCTGAAACACAGTGCTGCCTTCTCAGGTCTCCCCACCAAGCTGTGTGCCTGGGGATGGTGCACCCACCTTCAGACACCCTAGACCCTGGAGAGGCTAAGATGCTGGCACAACCAGGAAATGCCCACCACCCTACAAATGGGCAAGGTTCTGGAGACCAAGTGTCCCTGAGACATTGTCCCAAGTGTGCACAGGGTGAGGCAGAGCAGGAGGGTGCCCCAGCTTTGTGTGTGTCAGGTGAGGGGTCATAGACGCCCCTCAGCCATTGCTGGGAACAGATGAGTAGAACCCTACTGGCAAACAGCTTTAGAATGAGGCTTATTTAAGGATGCCATTTATACTAACATTGAAATCACTCCTAAAGCCTCACTGTGTGTGTGTGTGTGTGTGTGTGTGTGTGTGTGTGTGCCCTGAAACCTGTGAGAGCTGGAACTCGCCAGGTCCGCTTGGCTTTTCTGGGTCTCACAGGTTTTCGCCTTTGACAGGATGCAGTCTTAACCACTTTTCTATCACGCTCTATTCATGGAAAACAATTGTGTGTGTTTTCTCTGACAGATCTGCCTATTACATAGGTTCTGTCTTTTGCAGGTTTACTGTATACAAGGAGGCTTCAAAAAGGTTGTGGGAAATTGAATGAAAAGATAATGGAATTGTCTACAAACCTTTTGAAGGCCCCTCCTATATGCATATATATTCATCAGATGCTGCTATTATATTATTGGATGCCCTTGAGTTGATTCCAACTCATAGCAACCCCAAGTGACAGAGTACAACTGCCCCACAGGGTTTCCTCAACTGTCATTTTATGGGAGCAGATCACCAGGGCTTTCTCCCTACCTAGCAACTGGTGGTTCGAACCTCTGACTAAACCCTGCATTCATCCACCTTCCCCCCCAAACTGGACCGACTCCCTCTCTTGCTCTGTATCTTGGAGAGAAGGTACCTGGGCTGGATTCCCTCAGGTTCTCCTCTCTCTGATCCCATTTCCCCACCAAACCAGCCATATAACACAAAGCTAGTACTGGGATGGGACACGAGAGATGCCAGAGACGTTAAGAGGTTCAAGTCCGCCTAAGGCATCTCAGGAGACTGAAGGTTTTTCAAAGACCTCATTTTGATTGGATCCACAATCAACACTCATGAAAACAGCAGTCAAGAAATCAAATGATGGGAACTTCCAGCAAGATGGGGGATTAGGTGGACGTACTCTACCGACCCTCCACAATAAAGATATGAGAGACCAAATGAAACAGACACAGCTGAAAATCCTGGAATCCTAAACTTAGAGGAAAGGCTAGAGAAGTGGACTGAGTGCTTGCTGGGAGGAGAAATTGAGCAGGGGTGGTAAAAGAGGGAAATTAACAGGTGAACCACGTGTTATACACTGCACAACCATCTTGAGTTTTTGTGAGCAACGTTGATGACAGAAAGTGGCCTGGCAGAGCAGATTCGCATAGGCAATGGGAAAGGTGCAATTCCGTCTTTTTCCCCCACACTCCACTGGTAACCAGAAGTGTGACCAACTCCTACCTTCAGCCACCTGCTGCATAACCTTCTCTGTGAGAATTCAGAGCCATATTGGTGTGCGGTAAGTGCCAATTGCACTGCTTTGATGCTTAGATTCAGGCAGGCTTGGCTTTAAAACTACAGACCCCGCAGAGCCACCAGACCAGCAATAGTCTAACAGAAACCCTCATAACCAGCAACCCTGCCCCCAGTTTCCCCCTGTGGTCCTAACAGACACTAAAATCAGCTCCATCAAGGGCTTCCATGAAGGACTTCTGGATTGAGTGCCCTGAACACAGATAACACCTAGGCCTATAGATACTCCATCTAGGACCAGGAACGCTGCTGTAACATCCTTCAGTTTTTTGTTTGTTTGTTTGTTTGTTAATGTTTTGTTGTGAATTATGTGATAGTTTACATGGAAGAACATTAGCTTTACATTCATCCTATCGTATATCGTTTCATTGCCATGGTTGCAATCCCGTCCATGCATCATCAAACAACCAAAGGGTGTATACCCTGCAAACCTGCCCCCTGGACATCAGCACACAGGCCCTCTCCCTCTCTGAGTCTAGAGTCCCCAATCACTCCATCCCTCCACATCATTGTCTCTGCCTCCATCTCTGGTGTCACTGCTTCTCTGGGTGGGGTCCCACACTCCGCTCTTCTCCCTCGATGGTCCCAGGGACCTCCACTCCTGGACTGCAAAGTTAACTACTTCCCTCTTTTTGCTACCGAGTCCCCCGGTCTTGCCACATTGCTGGTCAACCAGGTCTCCACCTGGGTTCACAGGAGTCTATTGAACATGATAAGACAGCTCGCAGCTGTTTTTCATTGCTGTTTTCCCCTCACTTCCCCTTATCGGTGGCGAACACGGGTCACCAATCAGACAGAGCATGTATTCCCACTGACTCTTACTCTTGGAAGAGGGTTTGCTCTGAGGGGACCCAACCACTTGCCTTGATGCCTCCTGAGCGAACAACTTGCTTGTTCTGGTAGTAGTCAGTCAGGCTGCTGTTACTGTTTTGTATGTTTCCTGTCGGTCTTTCTTTCAAGTAGTATCTTCTGTTCTTCTAGCTGCCCCAGGCTCATCTGCTTGTCCTTTCAAGTGGAAATTTCCCACCTCAGAAGATTCTGGATGCTGTTCAGTATTCCACCTATGGTCTTATGTAATGCAGAGGCTGCACAGGAAGCCTCCTTCATTGGGCACATTGTAGCCCCATTTTAGGGATTCCAATCAGTTATAGGCAGAAGACGGACTTACAAGCTTTCTATGGTGATATTTCTGGCTATTTCTTTCTCTCCCCTTCAAGTGTCTATTTTATAATGGTATGTCAGGGAAACCAGGATTCAAAAGACAACCAAGCATCTTAACAATGTTCCCCCCTTTTTGCCCATTCCAACCCTGCCTCAATCCCTTTATCCCAGAGCCCTGTTGTTCCAAGGTTGTGCTTACATCATTATTTACCTCTGTCCCACTTAGCCCATGCAAACCTGCCTAATTGTTCTCCCATCCACCTTGTTCT